GGTATGCATGAACAAACCTTTCTTGCAACGCTAACTGGTGTTTAGGCTTTCCAATCTAAGTATCTTTATTCGCTGCGGCTAAGCTAAGCATTCTAAGCAGGGCAGCGGTCTGGCTGTATATTCATCAAAACTTTTCTGTCACCGAGCTATCGGCACGCTCGTTCGATGGATCAATCTGTTTTCAGGCAAGACGCACGAACAAACCTTTTCCTCAATGCTCACTCATGTTTCGGCTTTCAAATCGAAGTATCTTTATTCGATGGCCTAAGTATTATAAAAGGGACAGAAAGGCCCGAATGTCTCCCCCTCTCGACAATTTTTCTCTCGCTGTGCTATCGGCACGCTACTGTTTCATAGATGAAATTTTTTCTCAGGCGACATTCACGAGCAAATCTTTTTCGGAACGCTAACTGCTGTCTTGGCTTTCGAATCAAATCGTTTTTACCTACTGAATTAAGCACTAATCAACTAAAAAGGGGCAGCGGTCCGGCTACGCCTCTCGTCTTGACGGTCTCAACAGCTGCGCAGCCGTCTTGTTTGGTTTCGTGACGTCACGGAGCGCGAAGAAGTCACTTGCGCTTTGAGAAGTTTTCGGTGCAAGAAGAGCGTGCTCGAGTGTCAGTCTTTGGTGGCACTCCTGTTTGTTTAGTGAAAGGAGCGCTAAAATATTGCGCTCTGGAGCACGGACTTAAAGGGGCACCGCAGCGATTCTAATGCTCAAAGAATTGTCAGTCTGCATTTTTTATATTGTTTATGCAAGCCCAAGTGACCAAAAACGCGTCACCTTTCCCCGAAAAACTGCTATTCTGCTGCGTTATCGCAAAGCAAAAAAACGAATTATTTGCCGATCTGCAGCCGCCTGTCAGGATTACGGGAACTAAAATGACACCGTCTCTGGGGGATTCGCGGAAGTCAACAAAACCTGTCCCCCCGCTGCTACACTCGCCATCAGCTCTTTGGCGAACCGTCCTTTGTGTCGATCGCTCACTGTGACCTTTGACGAGGCTAATTATTTAAAAGTTGACAATCGCGGAGGAAGCGGCTGGTCTCTTAAGAGGGGACCCAAGGGGAAACTATGTGAACCCCCAGAGTATGTCACTCGAAAGTCGACGTGGAGAGTGGAGAGGCACTTTGACTTTCAATTTGTTTCTTTTTCTTTTCTTTTTTTTTGATATAAGAACTAGCGCTCGCAAGAAAATACGGTTTTCTGCTTTTTGTTCCATATGTGACGCAGATTAATTTCCGCAGTTAATTGGCCAAAGTCTGAAAATTGCTGCACAGCCCCTTTAACGCGCCCACTGCCGTGATTACTCTTGAAGCAACGCTAGATGTGTATACGTTTTCAAACTCTCCAGGTGCCAAAACTTTTCTCTGGAGCGAGGTTGAGAAACATGGCCGCTGGAAGGTGCAGAAGCGGCCGAGATGGTGCAGGCACATTAGAAGAGGCTGGAGCGGGCAGCACTTCACTATGCGACGTAATGCAGACGCTGTCCGTGGTAGCGCTGCCAACCAGCTGCCAAGGCAGAGTGGCACGTCCCCTTTATGCTCGGTTCGCCCTTAAAGGAGCTGTGCAACGACTTTAACGTTGAAATAATTGGCATCTTCTACTTTGGACGTCGTTCATCTTGTCACAAAGGACAGAAAACACACCTCCTTCCTTCGAAATGTTGCGATTACGCCGCGTAATCGCGAGGCAAAAATTAGAATATCCCCCGACTTGTAGCCGCTAGCGGCGGCCATGAGAAACACGCGGCATGACGTCAATGGGGGCTCTTGTAGAAAGATAGCAAGTTGTGCGAATACCTGCTCGATAAAAGGTAACTTTTCTATAAATCTTATCATTCCAACATAAATATAAATGCGTCAAAAATCTGGTATCATCGACAAAACTTTTATCATACGGAGTTTTAGTGGCGCCATCTATCTAGGTCCACCAAACCGTCAGCTCTAGCTGCTACCGCGAACAGCCGCCAGAAGCCGGAGGGGGACGGGGACAGCGCCGGATGGGGATGGCCAGACCTGGATGAGACTTTCCTCCTTTCACCACGTTGCGCCCGCCAGCACGTGGTCACGTGGTCGCGAGCGGGTGAGCTCTCGCTGCTCACTAATGGCTTTAGAGAGAGAACTTCACCAGAACCCCGCGCAAACCCCACTGACGTCCCAGCGCACGTGACTCGAAAGATGGTGAAGGAGTTGACAAGTGCCAAAAACCTCAATCTTTGTCCATTTTGAAAATAAAAATTAGGACATGCAGGCAAAAGCGGTTTTCGTTCTTTACTTCAGAAAGGTCGAGACACCAACTCCCAAATTATTTAAGCAAGGCACTGAAACCGTTGCACAGCTCCTTTAAGCTGGGGCCAGAAGCTCCGCCCTCAGCACAAGCTCGCTGGCTTCCGCAGTACTTTGGTTGCGCATGCCTGCGCGTTCATGCTTGTGTTAGCAAGGGCAGAAAGCTTGAGCTGAAGGCGGAGCTTGTAGTCTCAGCTTAAGGGTGAATGAGTATGGGAGTCGCACACTCCCAATATTTTCCTCCAGCTATCCGTTAATTAACAACCTACAGGATTTCTTTTTTTTTTCGACGTAAAACATGAAGTATATGAGGTTTACTTGAAGAAATGTTTATTTGCTAGAAAAGTGTAGGAAAACCACATGCACATATCGCATCAAACAGTGAACATATTCCAGTCAAGTGAACGGTCGGTTCAGATTGTTGAGCGAGCTTATCTCCTGCGTGCTTTTCTTTGTCGCCCCTAGAGTCTCTATCTTCGCAACTTGTCACCCAGACCACCAAGATAATTCTTTCCAAGTGTGCAGAATAGCACCCAGTGGGACTTAAAGCAAATATACTTATACTACAGGGTGTTCCAAACAAAAAGCGAGTTTTCTTTGCCGCAAAAATAAACTATGCATCGCCAAACGCTCTTTCTCCGCCCAAAGGTAGCACTAGAGGATTGAACCAGATGCCCAATTTTCAGCCCAAACCGACATCTTATTCAAAAGTTATGCGATTTTCTGAAAATTTCAATGGGAAAACGGTGGCAGACGGAATACGTGGAGCTCTATGGCACCAGAAACTGAGAACGGCCGAAAATGGGCCCCATTTTCCCAATCCAATTTCAACAAAATCGCTTATAACTTTGGAATAAGATACCAGTTTGGGCAGAAACTTTGGCATGTGGTTCAGACCTCTAGTGCTACCTTTGAGCGGAGAATGAGGGTTCAGCGAAGGATAGTTTATTTTTGCACTGAAAATGACCCTGAAAGTTTTTCTTTTTTTTGGGGGGGGGGGGGGGGGGGGGGGGGGGGGTGTTATGTCTGAAAAAAATCTGACGCGCTGAACAAAACCGTAGAGAAGCTGCGTGGGTGGTGTTCTATGTTTCATGTCTCTGCGACGTCTGGCTCCTTTCACAACTAAGTGCAATCGAAAACAAATTCTGCAACAGTTACTGCCAGGATTAGAACGGCAGGGAGGTTCTTTATTTGCCCCGCCTCCAGCGCGAGCCTCAAGCGTGTGCACGGCGGAAGGCAGCCTGACCGTAATAGACGCCGGGCATAGGAAAGAAATGCCATGTAGTTCTCATCCTGTAATAGCAAGTTTGTTTCACACGCACTGGCATCGTTCGAGTTCTCTCCCAGAATGCATCGCACTCGCAGAGTGTTGCACGGAGAACTCGACTCAAACAAACTCGCCCAATGCACCGAGTGCAGAAGACTGATGCTGCCGCCATCTATGTTGTAGAAAGAGTACCGACCTCAAACAGAACCTAGCGCCTCTGTTCAGAGTGATGGATGGGAATGCGAGAGTGCAGTCACTAGCAACGGTTTTTTACAAACTTTGAACGCAGCAACCTGTAGTTTATAGTTGCGATGACTTCAAGCAACTCGGCTGCCGTAGAGATAGTTACAGACAGCGTAATTTCCGCACTCAGGTTTCTACAAAGCAGCATGGTTGCGATCTTTCAATTGTTATAACCGTTTACACCGAAGAAAACTGATGATGCTGTCCGAGCAGAAGCTTAATCCGTTTGAGCATGGTATTACGCGTCAACCACTGAAAGGGTACGGCTTAAAACTAGTCTGGTGGAATATCCAGCAAACCTTTTCGTGGGACTTCCAATTTCAATCGTCTTTGCAGGTGGATCAGATATTAGCCTTGGTGAGGATGTCGAGGACGAGAGCTTTCTTGAACAAAATATGACGGGGCAAGTTCGCTGATCGACGTAGGTAAATGTTAAACATGATAATGTTGCCCAAGCCTTGGGTAAAGTTACTATGTTTAGCTTTCTTTGATGCTTCTGGCAGTCAGAGGTTTCTGCTGGGGGAGTTTTGTCGACAAGTGTTCAATTTTTCACCCGCACACGGATGGTGATAAACATCTCGGGGGCCGCTGATGCGTTTCTTCTGAGAATTTCTTGACACACTGGTATATTTCAGCGTCTGTACGGCAACAGAGCGACTTAAAACCTGCAAATAAAGCACGGGTTGTCAATTGCTTCCTTCATGAAATAGCAGACGCTCACAATTCAAGCTCACGTATGATTCTGTTGCCCGCGGGACGCGATTTCTATCAGAAAACCTACTCTTTTTCCTTTCGGTTCCGCGACATATCGTGGCAGACGAACCCTTGTCGTCTGCTCCCGCTCCTCGCCGGCATCGCCGGAGCGACGCATGACGGGATTGCATTTTGGCGCACGCCCGATTTTCCCGGTGCAGCGAGTGCATGCACGCGTGGGGTGCCGCCGCTGAAACGAACTCGGAGAGTACAACCACTCGTGGAGTGCCTGCCGAAACGAACTCGATTTACGCCGCGAGTGGGCACGCGTGGACACGAGTGCCGTGAAACGAACTCGCTATTAGTGACTACTTTTAAAATGAAAGCATATAGTGTTCTTGACGTCCGGGAAGTTGGAGCGGTTTCTTTGACGGCCGGTTATAACCATTTCCCCCAAGTAACGAAACCCCAAGGGTGAAAAAAACTCTAGCCACACTTAAAACGTTACCTTGACGTCGACGCGGTGAAGTGCGTAGTAACGAAGTTCGAGATATTGCTCTTCGCGCTGACAACACACACATACACACTACCGGCTTTTACCTGCTCTCGGAACTCGGCGACTTATCAACTCACTCGAGTCATTTTTTATCACCGTATCACGAAAGGCTTGATGAGTAATACACGTCTTTCCGCCCACCGGTTCGGGTTGCCTTAACTGGCGCAACTCGCACATGTTGAAAGATTTGTCCCACCATCACCATGGCAACATTTTATTGTTACCTTTTGTTTTTTAATCCGTGGCTACATTCGTGTAGACCGTGTAGACATAGCACTCCGCGCGCACACATGCCTCTATTTCTATGCGTCTTCCAGTCGCTACATTTTTGACGGCGCTAACGTCTCTTACGACATGAGTAGGAGCGACTTCTCCTCCCTTTCGCGTTTCTCTCTCGCCTTTGGATGGATGGATGGATGAATACGGCTGATCCCTTTGGATCGGGCGGTAGCTTACGCCACCTAGCCATTTTGTTTTACCATTTAAGCTTAGAATATTTAAATGTGAAATCTATATTCACTCTGCAGTGCAAAGAAAGTGAGGCTATGAAACCCCCTTGCCATCAGTGAATAAGAAAATACCTAGTTTTCTCTCGATTTCTGCCACCATTCACTTAATCTTTGCTTGGTAATCTTTACAGTCTTGAAATTCACTCTCCCTTCGCTGTCTCTAAAACCCAATGACTTTATTAAATCTGTGTTGTCTTCGGTAGGCATAGGGTGAAGCCCTTTACAGTAGAGCATCAAGTGCTCAGCCGTCTCGTCCTCCTCTCCACAAGCAGTGCACACTGTATCCATTTCCTGGTACTTCACTCTGTATGTTCTGGTTCGCAGAACACCCGTCCTCGCCTCAAACAGCAATGAGCTTCCCCTAGAATTGTCATAAATGCTTTCTTTGGCAATAACTGTTTTGTTTAATCTATAGCTTTCCAGAGCCATCTTTGTCTGCATTCCCTCTAGCCACCGATCTCTTTCTGTGGCCTTAACTTTCTTCTTAACTGAGACTTGCTCTTCCGCATCTTCGCTATAGCCCAAAAACTTTCCTCTTAATTTCCTAGAGTGCTGTCTCCACTTTGTGTCTACACTCCTCATGTATAAATAGCTGAAAACCTTTCGTGCCCATTGCTCCCCATCCATTTGCCTCAACCTATCCTCAAATTCTATCTTGCTCACCGCTTCCCTGCTCTCAAATGACGCCCATCCCATGTCTCCTTGTACTCCCTGGTTTGGCGTTTTGCGATGTGCCCCCAAAGCCAGTCTACCTGCTTCGCGCTGTTTTATTTCTAGTCTCGCATGCACTTCGGATTTCATGCATAGCACTGCGTTTCCAAAAGTCAAGCCAGGCACCATGACCCCTTTCCAAATCTCTCTCACCACCTCATACCTGTTGTAATTCCAAAGTGCTCTATTTTTCATTACAGCTGCATTTCTGTTGCCCTTACCTATTATATACTTTTCATGCTCTCCGAGATATTTTGCGCCATCACATATCCACCTATTATATACGAGGGTGATTCAATAAATAAGGTGAATTTTTTTGTATAAGGACTTCTAATACACATAAAAGCTTACTTTTTAGTTTTTTTTATTGTTTTACTACTTTTCCACGTGGATTTAATTTCTTATGCAGATTACAAACAACACTGTGAGAATTTGACCGAGTAACAAAGATGGCTGACCAAGAAGCATGCTCCAGGATTGAACAGCGGTCAGTTATCAAGTTTTTGGTTGCTGAAGGGTGCAAACCCGTTGAAATTCATAGGAGAATGTCAACTGTGTATGGTGCCACATGTTTCAGCCAGAAAAATGTCTACAAGTGGGCTAAATTGTTTAAAGAAGGACGGAGCAGTGTTAAAGATGAAGACAGGCCTGGGAGGCCTACAGAAGTGAGATCTCCTGAGGTGATCGAATCAGTCAATGACCTCATTCAGTCTGACAGAAGGGTGACAGTGGATGGCATTGCAAGAACTTTGAGCTTATCTGTGGGGACAGTACACAAAATTGTCCATGATGACCTTGGCTACTCGAAGGTCAGCAGCAGGTGGGTGCCAAAGATGCTTACTGCGGAGCACAAACAGAGGAGGGTCGAGTTGTCCCAGCAGTGTCTTTCCCGCTATGAGAAGGATGGTGATGAGTTTCTGCAGAAGGTGGTCACATCTGACGAGACATGGGTTTGGCACTATGAGCCTGAGTCTAAACGACAGTCCATGGAGTGGAAGCACGCAGGCTCTCCAGTGAAGAAGAAGTTCAAGTCCCAGCGGTCCACTAGGAAGGTGATGCTCACCGTTTTTTTGGGATATGCAAGGCCCAATCACCATTTCATTCCTTGAAAAAGGAAGCACTGTGAACAGTGCCAACTACTGTGAACTGCTGAGGCAGGTCAAGAAAGACATGAAGAACAAACGCAGAGGTTATCAGTCAAAAGGAGTCATCTTGCATCATGACAACGCAAGGCCTCACACAGCAGCCTTAACGGTGCAGACCATCAACGAGCTCGGCTGGGAACTGCTCCCTCATCCCCCTTATAGCCCAGACCTTGCCCCTTCGGACTTTCACCTGTTTGGTCCCTTGAAAGCGTTCATGAGAGGCACGAAGTTTGAAAGTGACGATGAAGTCAAAAGTGTTGTGAGCGACTGGCTGAGACATCAGTCTAAAGATTTTTACGCTGAGGGAATAAGGAAGCTTGTGCACAGATGGGAAAAGTGTGTGACAGTGCTGGGAGACTACGTAGAAAAATAAAAAAAAAAGTAAGCTTCTATCTGTATTAGAAGTCCTTATACAAAAATATTCACCTTATTTATTGAATCACCCTCATACTTTTCATGCTCTCCGAGATATTTTGCACCATCACATATCCACCTATTATATACTTTTCATGCTCTCCGAGATATTTTGCACCATCACATATCCATACTACTAGATACTTGTATTTACTAGCACTCTCAACTGTAATATTCTGTATCGTCAGCCTCTCAACTTTATCCTCGTTAAAAATCATGACTGCTAATTTTTCGTTACTGAATTCTAAACCTAATTCCTCTCCTTCCCTACCACAGATGCTCATTAATTCCTGCAACTCTGTCCTGTAGTTAGCCATTAGTATGATATCATCCGCATACATCAATCCTGGTAAGGATTGCCGAATTTTTTGGCCTAGCTTACTGTAAGAAAGGTCGAATCCAAGTCCACTCTTTTCTAGTCTATCCTCCAATCTTCTCAGATACAACATAAACAGCAAAGGCGATAACGGGCACCCCTGCCTAAGGCCTCGTCTTACCTCTATTTTCCCTGACGCCTTTCCTTCCCATGTTATAATCACCTTGTTATCTTTGTAAATGTTCCTTAATAGTGCTGTTAGTCCTTCATCTAGGTTTAAGCTCTTCATTATGTCCCACAGGTTCCTTTGGTTCACATTGTCATAGGCACCCTTGATATCCAGAAATGCCAGCCAGAGCTGTCTGTTTTCTTTTTGCGCTATTTCTATACACTGTGTTAGAGAAAATAAATTGTCCTTCAACCTTCTTTGTTTCCGAAATCCGTTCTGTAACTCGTCCAGTATGCCCTCGCAATCTACCCATTCCTCCAGTCTGTTCTTTATAATCTGCATTACCAACCTGTAAATAACCGGTGTCAGGGTTATGGGACAATAATTTCTAATATCAGACTTATCTCCCTTTCCCTTTGCGCGTCGACGGTGGCACCGCCTGGATCGCTTGAATCTAGCAGACGTCCCCGCTTGAATGCCATGGGGCGGAAGGTTGTTTTCGTTAGTTTTCGTTTTTCGCGATTGCATTTCTGTCGCGAGTTCTACAGTTTTTAATGTGTAATTGACTACAGGGCGTTTTCAGTTAAGATCGAACAACCATGTCCGATGACTATTTTTCAATTTGATGAAAAAAAATATGTATTTTGCTGGCCCAGAAAAATAAAAACAATCCTTGCCTTGTAAAAACAAAAAAAAAAAAAAAAAATTGTGTTTGCTAAAAAAATTTTTAAGCACGCTTCGCGTGCACTTTTTGCGAATCGAGAGTTTTTGGCATTTCGGGCGGCTTCAAGAAAAAAAAAAAAGTTTTGGTTACGGGTCTATAAATATTTACTGACAAATTAGGCACAGGAAGGATTCACAAAAAGTATTAATCGCCGAGTATAAGGGTTGTTATTTTGAGAAACAAAATCGTAAACACGGCACGTTGCGCAATACCAAACTGGATTAAAGATTTTTTTTTTTTTTTGCTCTGCATCTACAAAAGCTAAGGTGTTCAACCTTTGCTAGTGTGTTGCCTTGTACACAGTGATATGGTTCGTCTTCGCGTGAAATATTGTTGTCCTGACTAGCGGGAGAACTTTCCAAGAATTGCTCACACGGGCATTCACCTAAATATGCGTCATTTTGAAAACCGTTAAAAAAAGGGGACCATCCTTAATATCCTTTAAACTCTCCGAAATAAACATTTATATGTAGTAACAGAGTCTGCAAAAACGTAATGCAATATTTGTGCGACTTTTAAGTTATAAAGTGAGAAATATGGTCAAATTGACGCTAACTCGGGTGCCATAAGTGGGGCGTGCCTTCACAATTTCATTATTATTAAAAAGTGTAAAAATGCTACCGGGTGGTCAGGGAAAGAAATATTGACAGCACAGAGGTGGACGGTAATTTTGAAGGGAAAATTCCCAATACATTTTCGTGCAACCGACACAAAACTGCCCATGGGCCGGAGCGATCAGGAGGCGCCACACTGCAATATGCTTCGCAGTGCCTTTTTCAACAGCCGGGGTGTAGCATCTCCGTCTACGCGACGTAAAGGAAGCAACCGGAGCGACTTTGCAAACAGGGGGGCTATGCTCGACTAGTGTTTCGTTTCTCCTCAGAAGAAACGGAAGTGACGGAACTGATGATATCACGTCTGATTGGTTAGAGCTTCAAATGACGAAAGTTTCGTCTTTTGTCCGGAAGTGACGGAACTGAAGATATCACGTCTGATTGGTTAGAGCCTCAAATGACGAAAGTTTCGTCTTTTTTCCTTTGAGCCTCTAGCTAGTCAGGCGTGATATCGTCAGTACTGTCACATCTGTTTCATTTTAAAAGAAACAAAACATTTGTTGAACATAGC